GAAAAGTATTAGCTCTATTATCAAGATTTTGAGGCTACGTTTAAGCTACAATTCATGCATATCTTTCTATTTTACCTTGAGATGCTCAAGTAAAGCAGCATTTTTATCCCTAAATCCTTGCACATAGTCACCGAGTACTCGAATGCATGCAAGACATTGTGCCTCACCATCCCTGCATTTTTTATTGTCAAAGTATCGATCGTAGAGCTTGAAAAACTGCTTGGCAGGATGTCGTCTGCGACCAGTACCGGAACCTTGGTTGGACCTTTCCACCAATACATAAGAACACTTGGAACCAGCAGTTGTTGATAAGTTTTCTTTGAAATGCATGAGAGAGGATAATGTAGATCGACGAGAAAGTGTAGATATAAAATGTTAATGAAGTATCTAGCTCAGAGAACTGGCCATAATTATACTTTTTCTTAGGTCGTGTGCTGCGAAACTATTGCCTCAAGAAGATGAACTATTGTATAATGAAGAAGGCGACTGCTTAGTAGCTGCGCGACAAGTTCGTCATCGTCATCATTCTGCAGCATAACTTTTAGACGAGCTATGAAGTAATGAGTGCAGCACAGTCGATAAATTTGTATTTCGAAGATAAGCTGCTATTGAATTTAGAAGGAAGAGGACAGTTATTTCGCTGTCGCATAGAAACTACTTAGCAGCTGCGCAACAGCTGCGTAGCAGATTTGTCATAAACATCAATCTGCAGCATGCTTTTGGCACGAGTCAATGAAGACCTGACTAATAAGAACCTCACATTGACCGTTTAATATATTTATCTTGTAATCTTTTCTTTTCTTTATTATCGAAGGAGTAAACCATTTTACTTTTGAAGATGAGATATATTTATTTGACTGCTTATTGGGGTGGTACACAATACTCAATCAAAAAAAAATGTAGCGGGGAATTACCCATAATTTTTGCCAATTTTCGCTAGGTGAAAATTATGAAGCACTATTTTTTGCCAAGGCGAAAAAGGTATTTTTGCCACTTGGCGAAAATTGCGGTTGGCGAAATTCGTCAATGCTGATAATTGTGTATGAGTAATGGAGAAGAAGATTGTTGCGTCGTTCTTGTTGTGAGTACGAATCATTTGTGCAGGTAGAGGACGAAGTTATATAATACACGCAAGTCTGACGTTGGAATGGTGCAAGATGGTGCATCAAGTATATACAGAGAAGAAAAAAAAACAGTAATTTTGAATGAGCGTATATCCACTAAAGCTATACCCCAAGCACAACCAATAACCTTTTCCTTCCCTTGTTCACTTACCCAGCGTTTTTTTAAGCAGCAGTAATGGCGGTCTACTCCTTTATAAATCTTGAGCACATACTTTTTTTAAGAAAACAGTTACCTTCATTTCGTTTTTCAATAAATCTGTGGATTGTGACAAATCTGTGGATTGTGCCGTTTTGTTTTCTTTGTTTTTTATTCATTATGAAGAGAGTAGGAGCCATTTACAAGTGTGCGTCGAAGCTGTTGATTTGCCATGGCGAATGGTAATGAGAAAAAAAAGGATCTTTGGTTGTTGTTTTTTTCCTCCCTGCTGCTGCTAATAAACCCCACACTTTCCACCTACCTCTGCCACCAGCCTCCAATTTGTTTCAAACTCAACCCGGGTAAAGTGAAATGAGGGGAAACGCTCAGGCCCTATTCCCACAGCAGCAAAATAGGCTTATGCCTTATGCACACAGTGAGTCTCTGACGCACCCTTGCCATTTCCTGTACATTAGCCTACAAGCTTCTTGTCATGAGTGAAACAGCCATACTACTATATCTTGACATTGGCTTTATACTGCTTAACTTCTATTATGTCTTGACTTGAATTGAAAATCTTAAGTACTCCTATATTCTGTGCTGCTACACTTAATATATTATCTACTTCAACTTTAACTATGTCTTAGTTGACTAAAACTATGTCCAGGTTGACTGTTATTATGTCTAGGTTGTCTATTATTCATGTTTAGATTGATTATTATTCTTGTCAGGATTTTCATTCATGTACAGATTGATTTTACTCATGTCTAGATCGATTTATATTCATGTCCAGGTCGAAGTATATTTATGTCCAGGTCGATATATATTCATGTCCAGATCGATTTATATTCATGTCCAGGTCGATGTATATTCATGTCTAGATCGTTTTATTTTATGTCCAGATCGATCTTTTTTCATGTCCAGCTCGATTTTCATTCATGTCTAGATCGATTTTCATTTATGTCCAGCTCGATTTTCATTTATGTCTAGATCGATTTTCATTCATGTCCAGATCAATTATTATTCATGTCCAGATTAACTTTCATTCATGTCCACTCAGATTAACATTCATGTCCACTCTGCCTAAAATTAAATCCCTTCTGCCTCAATAAAAGTTCAAATGTCCGCTAGGAGATGAAAAATCCTGTATTAAAGATTTTAAACATAGTTATATTAAACAAAATAATCAATAAAATTATCACATTAAATTATAAATTAATTAATATATAAATTCATTAATTCTGATTTTATTAATTCATAAAGAAATAATTTTAATTTCGAAACCAAAAAAGACATAGTCTCCCCTCATAATTATTTTTATTTTATGTAGCATATATTTGAAAAGTTAATGAATAACGTCAGCTGCTATCGTAATAAACTTTTTATTGCTATAGCTAAATCTAATATTCCTCCATTACATATATATATATTTTTAAATTTTTTGATATTTTTTCTCATTTTTCAAAATTTATAGATTGTTTCCTCTCTTTTTTTTTCTTTTTTTTTTGATATATGTAGTTTACGATGTTGAGAACATAGAAAATCAGGTTTATTGTCACCAATATTTGTTCTTATTTTCCGATGACACATATATCCTTCTTTTTTTCCTCTTTTATAAATATATGAGCATATATTATTACTGCTATTGATATACCAAAAATTGTTTGTTTTTGTTTCTTCCAATTTTTCCTTTATGATATTTTTCATTAGTTTTTGTTTTTTTTCTTTCTAATTACATAGAATTTCATCATCAAAATATTTATCCATAACTTGAGTCATGATGTCTTTCATTGAGCTTATCATAGTTTGTTTACATACAAGGATTTCTGTGTTGAGGATCACCATTTTTTTTATTAGTTAATATTATTGTGATTATATTTTTATATTATAATTTTGTTTTTTCGATTTTTAAAATTCAGCTGATAATTAAAAATTTGGTAATAGCAAGTTATATAGTAATAAACCGATTAGTACTCCTTGTAAAATTCTAGCCAATGACTATAATAAAATAAAATTGTTTCATTCAACTACAATGTAAATAATTTTACAATATCCATAACCTATTAGACAGATTATACTACTATTACGGTGAATTTGGGGTATTCTAGGTAGTTGCGTAACAGTTTATGTGTATATTTAGTAGTGAGCACCAGTAATAATATCGTTTATTACAGATGGGTTATGAAGTGATATGAGTGTAAAGTAAGGTAAAAATGTGTATGGGTTATATCCAAGGTTGTAAATAGTAGGGAGCTGTTGTCTTGATTAAGCTCAGTAAGTAGAAATGAGGATCAGGGATGTTACCTCTGTCCAAAATGAATAAGGAATAAGGATCAGGAATGTTACGTCTGTCCAAGTAAATGAGAAATAAGAGCAGGAATGTTATGTCTGGTCTTAATAGAAGAGTTTATTTAGCTTCAGTTATGAGCAATAAACAATATGTAAGATAAAACAAGCCATGTTTAGGTCTTGAGTGATTGAAAACAACACTTGAAAAGTTAAGTCAAAAGTGGGAGGTAGAAATTCAATGTCTTTATTTAAATAAAATGAGGGGGTATTTATATCTTTCAAAATAATTCAATACATCTATAATAATTGAACATCAAGGATGATGCTCGAAGGTTGTAGAAAGTACTCGCATCCAATGGTTATGGATGTGGAATCAATTGGAAAGTCTAGGAATAATGCTATTATTAGCTATTCCTTAGCAATTTAGAAGGTGCCAGAAGTTTGTAGAGTTGTTGCTGCGTAGTTATTGGATCACTGTATCCTTGGCTTTATGGAAAGTGCCAGAATGTTGTAGTAATTGCGAGGCTGCTGTAGTAGAGCTCTTTGTTGTTGTGTGATGTGATGTGCTTAATGTATGTTATGCAGCTCTTTCTTGTATTCAGATTTTATTGGAGGGATAGTTCTCGGGGTATCACACCTCCTCGGGCCCAGAAGAAGATGGTCCCACATCGTTTGAATTGTTGTATAATGGGTCGTAAAGTCGCTCTGTATATGCGTCGGCGGCTCCATCCGTTCGTTTTTGTTATAATTATTTTGTGATGTTGTTTGGATCGTAAAGTCACGCTGTAAATGTGTCAGTGCTCCATCTGTTTGATGTGATTGATGTGATATTGGTGTTTGGATCGTAAAGTCGCTCTGTATGTTTCGGTGCTCCATCCGTTCGATCGGTTTGATAAGTTGTATGTGGTTCGTAGAGTCACTCTGTGTATGTGTCGGCGCTCCTTTGTATTGTTGTTGAATCAGATGCGAATCGTAGAGTCACTCTGTATGACTCGGCGCTCCATCCTTTTGTTTGTGTGTTTATGTGTGATAATGGATTTTGATGTGTATCTTTGTGTATATCATGTGTGTTTGTTTGTTTATGTTCTTTTTTTTTATTGTATTGTGATTTATAATCGATCTATATTTCTGTACCCATTGCAGTCTATTAAAATAAAAGGTTCGATATGTATAAACAGGTATTGATATAGTCTGTGTGTGTATGTGTGTGTATGTAGGTTTGTAGTACAGTTGGGAGATTGCCGTTTAGGCTTACAAAAGTTTGGGTTTACATGATATTTTTTTTTGTTTGTATGTTATATGTTTTTTTTTCTTTTCTACTACATTTTCTTTAATATATATATAATGTGTGTATAATGATAATAAGAAGGTATAATTTGTAAGTGAGAACCATTAGGTCTCCAAAAACTCGAATCGTCGTATCCTCGTTAGTTGTGTCCTAGGAAGACGTTTCAGCACTCTTCACAGTATAGGCTCACAGGCACCCAAGGGAAGGTGTCTCTGATAACGATAGCAAGAGCTAAATGTCTCTGCTGATTTTTGTTTCGTTGCGGGTGCGGGCGCACTGGTACTTGTTGGATGATTCTGGTTGTATTACCTGCCAACTGGGTAAGCTCCTGTTGTAGATGGGTACGTAAGCTCAGCAATGTAGAGATGCTTGCATAAGCTGTTGCTATTGTCGTGAACGCCTCTATGTCCACATCGATGATGGCATCCAAGGTATCCAACGCTATGTCTTGTTGGTTTCGTTGGTCTTGTGGTAGCGGCGATGGTGATGTATGCATGGTTGATTGTTCATCGATATCCATGGCATCGTCTTCGTAGCTAGCTATGCTTGGTTCTGAGGCCCAACCGCCTTCGTTTCTGCTTGGAATATGCGTGGGGGTTGGTCCCCATCCGTCCGAGCTATTGCCCGTCATCGTTTCTTGAGCCCATGGAGCTACGATGGTAATGTTGGTGTTGTTTTGGGTGTTGTTGTTGTTGTTGTTGTTGTTGTTGTTGTTCATTGTAGTAGTTCAAGTGGTATGATAGAGTTGATTGTTTAGGATATTTTTCTTCTTTATATATGTTTTTTTTTGAAATGTATGAATTCTTTTCTATGCATATGCACGTTTATATTTCAGAGTTATTGGTTTATGAACGTCCTCTGGTAGGTCGATAGCTACTATCTCTTTTCTTCTTTTTCTTTGTTTTTCTCCGATTTCCTGCATTTTTAGTCCTTCTCGATTTTCCTTGCTGTGGCATCGTCTGTGTTGTTTCGTCTTGGTCTGATTCTGATACATCTTCTTGTGGTGGTACTGCATCGACCTCGTCAGTAATGAGGTGCAGCAATGCCTGAGATATTGGGGCTCGGTACTCGATATCAGGTAAGGTATAAGAGCGCAATCGGTTTCTATGGTAGGGGTTCGGTAGGAATCTTCCTTGCATCGTTTTTAATCAATAGGTACCGCGTTTGTTGACCTTGTGAATCAAGAATGGTCCTTCCCATAGATCTTCTAGGCGTCCTGCCCAATTTCCTTCCAAGTAATTTTGATATACTTGAATAGTATCTCTAATTTGGAAAGGGCGTTTTAGTTTCTTGCCTTGCTGCAGTAATTTCTTTTCGATTCTCTGTTTCTGTGCCGCTTGTGCACTTTTGATTGTATTAATCGCTTCTTCTCTTATTCTATTGAGTCTTGTGATATGTTCCTCAAATAAGTCGAGTACGATCATATCTTCGTCGCGCTCATCATCCTCTTCCAGGAGATCTGCAATGTTTGTTTGTGGTTGCACGTGTCGGTCGAAAGGTGTATGTGGCTCTCGTCTGTAGATTAAGTAAAATGGAGATCTCTTCGTCATTTCTTGTCAAATGCTGCGGTATGCGAATAGTAGTACAGGTAGGTACATTGGACAGTTCTTCTTTTCTTCTTTATTGAGTCTTTTCAACATGACTCCAACTGTTCGATTAAATTGTTCGACTAGTCCGTTCGCTTGTGGATGATATGGTGATGTGAGTCGATGTTCGATGCCGTATTGCTTGCAGACAGCATTTATAAGGTTGTTTTGGATAGGTAAGCCGTTGTCTGAGCACAAAACACGTGGGCAGCCATGTATAGTAATGACACATTCGTAAACAAACAGAGAAACTTATGCTGCATTTGCCACTTGTAAGACACGTGCTTCAACATATTTGCAGAAAGAACAAATAGCTACAATGATATAGCGATGTAGGCTCTGGGCTGTTGGTAGATGTTTGATATCGATATGCACGTTCTCAAACGTAATGTTCGAAACAGGAATCAGGTATAGTGTTTCTTGGTTGTTGGGTTTCTTGTGTTGGTGACACCGGTCGCATTGTGCGATGAATTGTTTTACGTCTTGCGCCATTCCTCGCCAGTAGTATTTTGTTTTTAGCTTAAATAGTGTATTTTGGAATGCAAAATGTCCCCCAAGAGGATGTTTGTGTACCATCTAGATTGCATCTTTGATCTTGCTCCTCTGTAGGATCATTTTTGGCGTGGATCCTTTGCAGTAGAGTTTTTCATTTATAACGATATAGTGTTCGTTTTGAGTGCGAATTGTTTTCCGTAGTTCCTTGCTACTAGTTGGTAGGTATTCGAGTATTTCAAGATAATACTTGAGTCCGTTGTATATCTTATTATCTATTGTGATTTTGGTTGTGACACAGTAGATGTAGTTGTATGTCGTCGAGTAATTTGAGAATGTTTCAAAATAAGCTTTGTGCGGGGTGATGTTGTAATAGTGTTGTGATCGACGTTGGAATGTTGCTATCAGTATTGTCTCATGATGTGTTGATAATCAGTTTGTGATCAGCGTCTAGTTGGCTTTATGGGCATAAATTATAGGGATCTGATGACTTTGAATTTCCATTTGAAGCTAAATTAATACATATTGTTATTAGTAATTCAAGTGAAGCTGCATTAAAAAAAGATGAAATGATTAAATTACAAGAACAGTTTTTAAATTTTAATATTGATGATAATAAGAATATTGATAATGAGGTTATTGAAGATAATAATAGCAATAATAATGATAGTAGTGAAGATGATATTCTTAAGTTTAATGAAAAGAAAAGAAGACGTAAAGGTAAAGGGAAGGAAAAAGCTATTAATATAAGTAAAGTTAGAAGTATAGAGGATAAAGCATATGAACTAGAAAGCATAGTTGACCATAAAATTGAGTATAATGAATATATATTTTTTGTGAAATAGAAAAATTATCCATCTGTAGATAATAGTTGGTTGCATATTAATAGATTCAATGAAAAGGATTTAGTGAATGAATATATTCTAAAACATCATCTAAACATATAATTTCATATTATTAAGTTAAAATATTATTAAAACATAACAGAAAAGGATTTCCAATGATTATTTTCATTAGTCTTTTTTTCTTCTTTTTTTTTATTATATTTATATTCGATAATTCTTTATTATTCAATTTTTTATTAAATCTTTGATTTTCAGCAATATTATCTACTTGTATATCTTTTTTTACAATTTTTTTCTTTTTTTTAGTATATGTTTTTTACTATGTGAGCAACAAAGAAAGTCAGGTTTATTATCAGATAAGTTAGTTCTTATTTTTTTCCCACAAAACGTACCTTTCTTTTTTCCTCTTTCAAATTTATATGTATAAAAGCTATTATGCATAGAAAGATATAGGAAATAATTAGTAGAGAATAAATTTTTTTTTTCTATTAACTTTTTTATTAACTTTTTCAATTATGTTTTTTTCAATAAAATGATTAAATTCAGATTGCATGAAAACATCTAGTTCATTGCATATATTTGTACATAGTTGGATATAGTTGATGGGGAGATATTTATTTAGGCAAACCATTTTGAGAGCACTTTTTATATTATAAAGAAATTCAATTTTATTTTTAAAAAAATTTATTTTAGTATGCATAATTTAAAACTCCGGAGTTAAAAAAATATCCTAAATAGATGAAATTTTATAGTAAATTTGTAAATATCAGACTATGAGATGTTCCATAGATCCATTGATCTAGGGGTATGTATCCTAGTTGTAATATTTCCTAAAAATTAAGAGTTATAAATTTTTTAAGAGTTACAAAAATTTCTCATAATTACAAATTACTTTTAATTATTTAAATCAAAAAATAAATAATGATGTTAATAAAATTATTTTGAATTTTGATATAGATGATAATATGAATATTAATGATGAAGTCAGTGAAAAAAGATAATGAAGATAATAATAGTAGTGAAGATGATATTCCTAAATTTAATGAAAAGGAAAGAAAAAAACTTGTTATATTATTAAAGTTAGAAATATAGAAAATGAAACATATGAAATAGAAAGCATAATTGACCATAAAGTCAAACATAATGAATGTATCCTCTTTGTAAAATGGAAAAACTATCTATCAATAGATAATAGCCGGTTGCATATAACAAATTTAATGAAAAGGTGTTGTTAAATGAATATGTTTTAGAACATCATCTTCACATATAATATTAAATACTTAAGGTAAAACATTATGAAAACAAAGGAAGAAAGGATTGCCTATAGTTATCTTTATAGGTTTTCTTTTTTTTTCTTTTTTTTTATTATAATAATAAGATTATCTACTTGTTGTATATCTATCTGTTGTATAATATTTTCACCTTTTTCTTCAATTATCTTTCTCTTTTCAGGAATATGATCTGGATTATATTTTCTGTAAACATATTTATTTTTATTACCTTTTTCTATTATTTTTTTCCCACAAAATTTCCCATTACTCTTTCCTCGTTTAAACTTATGAGTACAAAAGCTATTATACATAGAAAGATATAGAAAATAGTCTGATGAGAACAACTCTTTTATTTTTTTATTAATTTTTTCTTGTATTTTTGTGATTATATTGTTTTTAATAAAATAGTCAAATTCAGTCTGTATAAAAGTATCTATTTCATTGCATAGATTTGTGCATAATTGTATATGATTGATGGGAAGATAGTTATTGAGAGCAACCATTTTAAAAGTAATTTTTATAAATTAATAAAAATTCAATTTTGTATTAAATAAAAAATTTTAGTATACATGATTTAAAACTCTGAACTTGTAAAAGATTTAAAACTCTGAACTTGTAAAAATATTATAAATAAAGAAAATTGTGCAATAATTTTGTAATCACTATACTATGAGATGTTCTCCTAAGAAGAAAAAAAAATCTTTGGTTATTGCTTATTCCCCTCCCTGCTGCTACTATTGAGCCCCACTTTTTCCTCCCGCCTCAGCCACCACTCTCCAGTTTCTTCAAACTCAACTGGGGTGAAATAAGGGGATGCCTTTTTTCCACTACCCCAATCCTCTTCCCTTAGAGCAACTCCAGTAGACTAGCTAAATTTTCCTCTATTTTCACCACTCGCTATCCCAATTATTCTTTTTAGTGAGTCAATTTTTACAGCAGACTAGCTATTATTGCTGACTAGCAAAAGTGGACTTAAATTGTGTGATTGTCTTTTTGCATTCCCGCGTATTTGTTTGTTTCCTGCTTTCTCTCTCCTATCTTATATTAAATATGCCTAACTTGAAATGCCTCATGAACCTTATTGTTGACGAAGAAGAAGAAGAGCAGCGTCGCATCGCTGTGTTCAAACGTCATATAGAAGAGATCGACCATATGATCCAACAGGAGTATGCGACAAAGAAGAAGCATCGTGGATCTGTCCCTGGCCATTAAACGACTCACCGAGATCGCATCGCAATGGATGCATGTCTGTTCAAAGACTATTTTGCCGAAGATCCGGTGTATCCGGCGCATATATTCAGAAACCGGTATCGAATGGATCGAGACCTGCTGTTGCGCGTGATGGAGGGTGTGAAGCAGCAGGACGATTATTTCGTCCAGAAACGCAACGCCACTCATGAACTTGGCCTCTCATCGTATCAAAATACTACTTCAGCGATGAGACAACTCGCGTATGGTGTCCCAGCAGATGCAACCGATGAGTATGTGAGCACAGGCAAGTCGACGGCGCTCGAATGCCTCAAA